CAACCCAGACGGTCATTATTTCTTGCAGAATGATTCACTAAGATGCTCCCACAGAGAAGAAGGATCTCAGCGTTTTAGTCAGTTTCCTTGAACAAACAACGAAGTCTTCTGAGGGTAGACATAAGCTGGTCGACATCATTTCACATTTGTCTACACACATGCTCATAAAAACTATGTTGATTTGCTGCAACAAACGATAGTTATGCTCCTCAGACAAAAGCAAAGAAGAAATAGGAGACAGCGTATTGGATTACACAAGGAGACTTTTGAATGCAAAAATACAAGCGGTAAGAACGACTAAAAACAGACAAATGTGAGCTATTGGATCAGTCAGATTTTGCCATTAAGGACTTAGCCGTCTTATCGGAGTGTTAAACAGTAACTCCTGACTATTGGCGCAGAATATTTTTTGCAAGAACTCTCGGCCATTTGGAGGAAGGGTTTGTATTCTACAGGGAAATGCTCTGAAAAAGCACTCTGAACCACCAAAATTGGCTCATCACTGGAATGCTTCCTTCGGCAGTGTTTCTAGTTGGGAGAGCAATGCATATCGCGCAACCTATTCTGTCTCTCTTCACTGAGCCATTACACCAAGAAACTGCTCAACTCCAGTATAACCAAACCACATACATTGAGGTAGGTTTGGGAGTTATCTGGGAAAAAACTATCCGAACGACCCCGTGCATGTATCTTTGGGCAGTTGTTGTCGGTTTTGTAATACCCCCCACCCCTGGAGGCTTGATCTCACACTGACTGGCTCAAAATGCTTACGACAAAGCCCCTACCACTTCTTCATTTCGCGTATAAACACACCCCCAATCGTCTCCATTTTGTGCTTTCTGGCGTTGTGCTTGGATTCGGAGTTGTTGCTTGGCCATACTTCGGTAAAACGAATGGGAACATGTGAAAGACAATCGGAACAATATTGATCTTTACCTGGAATAAACGTGTCATAAATACATCAGCACATTAAGAAGGGGGCAAATTGTTCCCCATGTAAGGATATTGCTAAATGTAATCCTGTCCTTATAGGATTTTGAAATGCGTTACCTTCTAAAAAATAATGATTTTAACCGTTTTCTTCACGAATTTAGCTACAATTCTAAACGTTGAGAGACATCCGAACCAAGTGAATGACTTCTGGCAAGCTGACCATCAAATGCGAAAGGAAGTGAGTCCGTTTACCAATGCTTCGTTCTTGACCTTATGATCTGATAAAACCAAACCGTGACCAATAGAAATTCCGTACAAAGACTGTACTTCTGTAACTCTTCGCCTTTTTCATAAAGCCGTTCAACAACCTATCTTAAAAAAGCTGAGTCCTGTGTAAAATTAAGTGGACATTGCTGAACTGTTACACCAAGACAATAGTAGTGTCAGGGTAACCATGTATTTATCAGCCGCATGTACGTTTCGCAACCTGAAAGCAGATTTCCATTAGGATTCATCTAACAGGCCAGAATTTAGCGGCGCAGTAACCAGATTATAGGTGAATAATTAGTGCGTAATATATCAACTACCCACCACTTATGAATAACATCTATTGAACAGAACAGAACTACCCCTAAGCACAAGATGCACATTCTTCGGGGGTTTGCCGCTGCTTAACAAATGACCTAATTGTTATAAAGGAAACTACTCACATGATTACTGAAAACTCTTCGACAGCCCACGACCGCTTTTGCCTTCTTATGGCTCATCAGGTGGGCGCAGTCCCCGAGCTTCCATCAACCTTATGTTCTACTTGAACCCAAATTGGACTGTTTTTGAGAAATACACTCATTTGCAAATCAGTCTGGATTTCACAAGAGACTCAACTGAATCTCTCGTTTATGATATTCTACAAATGAATGTGCTGCACACAGGTCGCCTCATGTTTTAGTTGGCACGATATTCGAGATATCGCAGACTTAATTCCTAATCCCATACCATATGGCTGGGAGCGAACTTGGAGAAGCTAAGTTAGCTTTGCTTTACCAGAACTTAGGCGGTAAGCTTTGTTAACTGAAAGAATCTAAATGTTTCGCATTATGTGCCCTTGACAAGTCTTTGTTCTGTGATCCGTTTTTCTTCCGAAACCCCTGTAACCTCAAGTCAATCGCCAAGTTCAGCGAACACATCAACGGCCACCTTACGACCAGTCAATTAGCCAACTCAAGCTACCAATATTCAGACACATTGCTAACTTCAAGGATAAAGAAACGTACCTTGGAAACAAGGAGGTTCTCTTGTACCGTAACCAGCTACCATTGAAATAACGAAGGCCTTCGATGCGAATTTACTTATTAGGAAACGCCAAATGAACCGTTACAGACTATTAGACAGGGAAGCAAAACTCTCATATGCATCTTGTTCACAAAAACCGAATATCCATCTTCTCTCTGAACACTTCTTCCTGAACTTTCCCGGATATTCACTGAATGTTGCTCAAATGCAAGCAAACGTGACTTTATAAATTCCGCAATAGACCTCACTTTTCAAGAGGCGCGAAGCGGATTTACGAGAAAACATACCACTTGCTTGCCCAATCAGTAGTTGCACCATAATCTCGTGTTCACACTAGCCTCTTGAGCGGTTGTAAATAAGTCTATCATTGAGCCAAAACAACAACGCCAAAGACGTGCTCCTTAATCCTCCGGTGATTATTACAATCGCTCTTTCAGGCTAAGGTTTTGCTACAAGACTGGAGGCTTTTCATAAGTAGTCTGGTGTGAAAAGAGGTTTTTTTGGTGACCATCAGTGTGACAGATTACGCAATTCCTATGACTGGATCTCTCCATTCAAGTTATCGGGTGAAGATTTTCCTCATTCTTGTTTTATAACATAGTTGGTGGAAGATGCAGTGATGATGAAGCCTCTGGCACTGTTTGCTGCTTCAACGGAAAATCCGTTCAACGAGAACTATTTCGCCATTTTCGAATTAAGCAAGTTGCCATTGGCTACGTGGGATACTGACGCTGCGTGGAAACAAATAATGTACAGCACTTTTAATGGTGGAACTCATTTACGATCTATTGCAGGTGAGTCACACGACAAATAAAATGGGAGCACATCTGTTGCAACCGAGATTCACATATGCACTTTGGCTGTGAACGCCCATGACAAACGCACGCACTTCACACCTTCAGCTAACTAGGTGTTTACAGTTGATGAAAGTTGCTGTAATGTGTCACTTCTACCAAGTAAAAAAGTCTTTTGGGGTGCAACCTCTTATAATAACTCATTCTACATTGGATTGTCTCACATGAAGCTTCATCTGTGAAGCTGCAAGAGGTAGAAAACAGTGAAGATTTAAGCGAATGTCAGAGGTTACGCTACCATCTATAGTTACGGTATTAACTTCCGTAAGCGGGTTTCTGGAATATACTACTCAAGTTACGAGCACTCAGAATTTTTTACTATTCTTTCGATCACATCTGGAGAAAATAGGGTGTGTTCGTATTATGCATATGTAAATAGCATTACTCCATCGATCAACGATAACGGGGAGGTACTCCAACTTTGGCATGCGTAAATATTTTTAACCTAGTGCTTTGATAAGCGCATTGTGCGATTTACACCACATCGCGTTGGATCCCCCGCCATTAAAACTAGCATTCCTCTATCATATATAGACTTTTTTCATACATTTCATCTGTTTTCCGCGTACGCAAATATCAAGCAAACAGTTTTCCGCTTCTGAATCTAGACTGGTACAAGGTGGACCCTATTTTGCTGCAGCCAAGTAAGTAAACAGAGAATGATGGTATTGCTTATCCGTCACGATGTCGATGGCCATCATTATCATCGGAAATTTTTCCATGTCATTCGCAGAATTACCACCAAAGTCACAGGGAAAATGCATGCCGGAGAAGCATACAACCGGTATGTTAACAGTTTTCGGTCGTTTTATCAATGTGCTACTAAGAAAAGCTTGGTAAACACTCGGGAGATTTTAACTAAGAAATGTTCCAATTTTCATATCGCCTGTCTTTAAAAGTGCACGTTTTGTCTAGAGCAACTAGAAGACAAGGAAAATAAAGTTTTTTTGCTGAAACCTATCGGTATGCAGATAATCGCAACCATGCGTGATTTTAAGGTTTGTTGTTTAACGGTAACTACTCGCGAGTAGTCAAGTTTCTTACCAATTTCACCAAGCAGGTTAACAGCTCATTTGGAACCCATGATATCCGTGTATTTTGAGCAGTTGTTCCATACTATTTGTATGAAATCTATGGCGCGGTCAGCAGTCCCCATCTTTAGTGACATCCAGTGTATCCTTACTTTCCTCAGGCTTGTGGAGTAGACTGTACACGTAGATGTCAACAGTTGAGCAGGTTGTTTGAATCGGGTGAGCATCAAGCTGAAGAGGGACTCGCCAATTTAAAAAAAACTTTGAACTAAGTTATTTTGACGCAAAACCGCTCATTTTTGAGTGCTAGCTCGCGGCCATCTGAGAAACAAAGGAGCCTGATTTTAGAATGCAGCGTAAAGTTTCGTTGAACATGAAGAACTAACGAGTATTATTTTGAAGGACTTATTTAATTTTACGCAATTCAGAGAACCGAGACATTGGGATGTAGGTACCTCACGTGTGGAAACCTATCTGCCTTCACCGTACGCCATCACAGGTTTGTACCGCCTTAGTCATACGAAACCCCAGTTTCAATTAGCAGGTTATCCCGGCTTCTAGCTGTCATGTGACATAAGCTGGAATTGGTATTCAGAAGCATTTAGAAAGTAATTACAATTCTATGAGTTTTTTCATTCCTTAACTCTGTGAGCAGTATTGATGTGCTGTTGTTCCCAAGTGGCCTGAAAACCATTACAATCTGGAATAAATGTTGACAAAAGTGTGATTCCAGTGAATTGGCTAGAAAAAACTGCAGAGATTTTGGTGAAGTGTCCTTTTGGGGTCATCTTTCCACAGATGCGGATTACCTTGCGGTGTCTTATGCACTGTGAGCCACAGGTACCCAAAGCCCACATTTACTATGCCATATTACGGTCAGATTGTTGTAACAGCCGCTTTGGTATGGAATTGCAAAACAGAAATGCTGGAATTTGACTTGGAATTTATTTTGTTGTCACTGTGAGGTGGTTTAAGGATTTCCAATTGAGACTTCGCTCTGTGGGTGAAGTCAGTGTACCCTAAAAGGTCGGAAAGCACTTTACAGCTGTGTTGTTCTTATTAAAAATCACCTACAAAAGTTTCGAGGAAGCAAGTTGTTAGATCAAGCTGTTTAACGAAGTTGCCGATTTCAGGGAGCTATTCGATCACCAAACAATAATTGTTTTCACTCGTCCTATGATTACCTCACTTGTTTATCTTAGAAATGGAACTTTGCAGTTGCACAGAATACTGGGTTTGTTAAGAAGTGAACGATTTAGATAAATCTGTTGTCTAAAGCTGTGATGCTGTCTGAAAAATTAAACCTTGGAGACCAAAGCGTGCATTATACGCAGCCGATCATGTCTTTTCAAGGGGTGAACATCAAGTTGAGATGAACCCGGATTACTCACTTGTAGAAATATCCTAATTGTCTGTGAATAAAGAATTCAGATGAGTAAAACAGGTCAGGCTTTGCTCTTTGCGTTTTCTGTTGCTGAAGAACCAGCACTAACTACCACTGATGAAGATATCTCAGGTTGTGATAATCATCATTTGAGAGATATATAACCATACCTTTTGGTGATTCTTTGCGCTCAAGTACCGTCAAAATAAAGGTCCGGTGCAGGTGCTTACATGGTCGGCAGTACTTATCAAACTGGCTACATACTTTAAGCCACATGAGTTTGCGAGTACTGCCCGATAGGTTTCAAAAATACAATAGTGGAGTGTGAGCGAACTATCTGTGAAAGCAGATTCAAAAACAGTTTTCGAAGCCTTTTAGTTCAAGCAACGATATTTGCTGAAAATCAGTAAGGTTCCCGTCAATCACTGTTTTAATCCTGCTTTGTGAAGACTGGACAAACTGGCAGTCAATGCTGCCTTAGCGTGACATTAAAACTATCACTTTCACTCGGAATTTCACCTTGTTGGCATGTCCTATTTGACATCAGTTGCACATTTCTGCTGAAGTTTACTTTATCAGTTTGCTGCTTATTAGACGTTTTAGGCTTTATCCAATGCGATGTAATTCCAGAACGTTGTTTCGGTGTTCAGTTCCAGTCCGGTCTCGAATACATCATACAGGTAGTCAAAATCAGGCGACTGAAATGTATGGGCACATTTCGTCCGTCTGCTTACTTCTTTGTACCCAAATTGTATCCATTCGACTCATGCCTTTGGCACCATTACACTTACACTTTTGCATTAATTCACGCATGCAACCCCCCGAAAACCCCAAGAATAAAATAAGATTGGAACAGGTTGGACACGTTTGGACGTTAGTTTTAAATCTTGGGCGCTAAATTGAGCCAAGCAGACTCCGCTGAAGAGGCATAACAAGGCTGACAACGTTTTTGCGCCAAAAATCAAGACACTCTTCTCGTTCATTTTAGGCCACCACTGTATCAATGCTCTCCGCAACAGAACTTACTACCTGCGTACCATACCCAGAAATGTCCAAAGATCCGCATTTTCACTCCATAGTCCTACCTTTAATTTGACCGAAGTCGCTAGCTTCTTTGGAGGTGAACATAATGTTGGGATATTGAAAAATGAACGACGAGGTTTTTTTGGGCTTTTTAAGGTTTTTCTGTGTCTATGAGGTATACATGAACTTTACAACTGGTGGAATGATTTGTTAGCCGCGTATGATGCATGTATAAGAGTGAGATAAAAAACTGTACCATAAACTACTGACAGTATAATTTGACCACCGATTTTTCAGTGACTGTGATCCACATCAACGCAACATTGCCGGAAGGGAGCACATTAGCGGGCAAAACATATGCAGAAGTTGCATCGGTACTAGAAGGCAGCCGATGGACGGTAAGTCGGTAATTGTGCGAACGGCTGTTTTGGCCATTTTAACTATGCTGTTCACAGGGACTTTTCAAATAGTCTTTGTCAGCAGTGTTGAGCTTGGTTAAAAGTTTGTCCATGGATTTGAGCCACCGGCCATTAGTTCGCCTCACACGGTTGCTTCACCGAAAGCCTCTGCTTACCACCATGGTGGAAAAGATGTACTTTTAAATTATAGTTATCGGTGCACATCACCGTAGTTCCAACGTTCACCCTAATTGACATGTCAGCCCAAGTCACTAATTGCTTTGGTGTTCTGAGAAACAGTACGAACTGAGGTCGGATACATGCAAAATTATACCCACTGTACGGCTGAACCTGGTTCATGGATTATGGAGTGCCATGTTTAGATATTTGCCATGTACGTCAAGGTTCAACCAATGCTACAAGTAGGATTGACACTGGGAGTTGATCGATATATTGAAGGATATGTTGCACCAGCCTGGTGCCAGTATCACAAACCATAATGCAAAGATGTGCACATCCCGGCTGGCAAGACAGTAGTAGGCTATTTGTGGAGTAGGCATACAAATCGACGATGAATTAAATCCTCGCACGAATGTCAAACCGATACCCATCTATGGGCTCACGTTTTGCAAATGGTATAGATTAGTAAGATCTGCCTCGTTCCACAGAAGCCGGCTTATCACATTTTACTCAACAAAGGAGGATGAATTATGATATAAGCATAAATCCTTGTGACATCCCGCGCTGACCAGTGTGGGTTTTCATGAAGTTATCCATCACAACATTACCAGAAATGAATTGTTTGTCGCTTCCCATGAAACTCTACTCAGCGAATTCGATACAATCTGGAACTGTTTGCTTAGATAACATAATTAACGTAACTCATTCTATTGCAGCCAAAACCCTTAAACACAGCATTATTCAAGGTTAAAAATTTGTTGGCTGAATCGGAAAGTTCATTGCAGTAGTTTTGTACTATTTTTCTGGTTAACTGCCTCAAATCGAAGACGGAGGTTGGTCCGACTCGGCCTCAGCGATTATCAAAGTCTGGGATGTCGAAGCAATTCTTATGGAACAAACAGTTGTTCTGTTAATCTTCGTTTCTCGCCATAAATTCAGTATGTCGCTCAAGACAAGTGTTGATTTTTTACAGCAATAAGTCTCCGGAGGTTTTAATAACTTTCCAGAGTGTACATATTGCAATGCACTACTCATAGGGTTGCTAAAAACGCCTTGACCGCCCTGGAAACATAAAAAGCGAGAGATTCAGCTGGGTTCCAGGTGATTCTCTTGAAAAACCAAATTAGTTTGCAAATGAGTGTGTATTCGCCAATTTCGTGCAATTTGGTTTCAATCAGAACATAAGGTGCGCCTATCTGATGAGCCCCAAGAAGGGCAAAATCGGTCGTGGGCTGTCGAGGAGTTGTCAACAACCTTAAGAGTAGTGCATTACAAAATATGTATGTATCGCGATATCTCGAATATCGTAGCGACTGTAACATGAGGCGACCTGTGTGCCTGGAAACATCGAAACCGAGATATTCGGCTGCGTTCCAGGTGAGTCTCTCGAAAAACCAAATTAGTTTGCAAACGAGTGTATATTCGCTAATTTCCAGAGTGTAATTTTAATTCACGGCTTTTCGGTTGATAAATCGGGCCGCTCTTTTGCTTTAATTGGTCATGTTAACCCAAACGACGTTGATCCTACCCCGCGAGACGTTCAGCTGCATTTGACGTTTGGATGGTTACTTGATGGTCGGATAGCAAACAGATGCAGTGAAATCAAAATGCAGTCATTCGCATTGTCTCGCTTGAACTTCGTTTTAACCCATTCTGTGTGCAAGATTCTCACTGTGTCACTGAACTGCACAGACAAGTATCGAATACATTAGTTAGGTAACTACGAAAAGTGGCACTTCTGTGAAGTGGTTCTCAGGACCAACAGGATACCAGTATAAGATTTCTGCAAGAACATGATCACAGTTATAAAGGTATCGTTAGATCCGCCGAGGTCCACCGACTGAGTTCAGTAGTGGGGTTAGTCTATCTCACTAGATATCAGGAGAATCGATGAATTTAGTTCGCACACTCTGTAACTGTTTGCTTTTTACCGTGTTTGCTACAGGTCAGCATGTGGCCCGAAACAAAAATGTTTAGGGAGGTGGAACTACTCAATTTTCCACCTTACTTCGTGTGAAAGTGACTGGTTAGCGCATATAGAAATATAATTCCATGTGCTTTAAACTGTGCCTTGCGCAGGTAAATAGCAGTCAATTTTAATTACCAAAGGACATTACATTGGTGAACAGGTACAAATCAGTTTTGTGCGCATACGAATAGAGAGCGGTATGTGTACCTTTTCTGTGCCTTTTTCTGTTAGTTGCATTCAACACCATATGAGGCAACGTCCAGCCCCTCTGAGTCGACATGTTAGGATTGGAAAGCTCGTCATATCCGTGTGACATTTACCAGTACTTCTTAACTTGGTCTATTACGTCAGGTGTGGTGTGATGTGCTGTCTCATTTTAGTTGAACCACCTTAGCGTATGAAGGAAACTGCAAACGTTTCAGACCACAATTGTATGCACCTTTCAGCTCAATACTTTACTCTAACCCCACGAAAGAGAATATATGGTACAACGGAACACTTCCGCGATGACCACCTCCTAAAAGTACCACCCTTTATCAACCCCGTCAAACTGAATTTGCAAACCTTGTCTTCTTGGTAGCAGACGCCAAAGCAAATCTATCCGCTCCCCCACACTTCTACCGGTAATATTAGATAATATACGTCGGTGATGTACCGAAAGAAGGAAGCCATTGGAAAAGCACGGTGTACTAGTCATCGTATAGCGCTTGTCTATTTACGACTCTGTATAAGCACAGCAATTCATCTGGTCTTATCTGGGTCTATGAAATCCCTGATACATTTGTATCGGACCTAACCTGATGAACACAGTAACGAGAAGGCAAATGTCAACAATGGAAATAGAGCTTTCCTGGAGAAATATCGGCCTGAACATACTGGGGCGCACAACGTGTTTAACAGCAAAATATATATTTATCTAATCACTTCAGAATACTTGTCCAACTAAGATGAGATTTATAAATCCAGAGAGTATAGTGACCACCGAGTTTGTCCCAGCATCTTCTCCCCGTCATATCAAACACATACGTTTCTATCCGGTGAGAATTTAAATGTGGCAAGACATTTCGATTTCCTTTAAAGTAACGGCTGTTGGTTATCCCTTTGCACATGCGTTCTTCTGCACTAGCAATGCACTCAGAATTTATAACAACACTTCAGTGACTTGCGCTGAAGGTGTATGTTTCTCCCGTTCTTTCGCATAATTCACTACAGATGATCTCTGAGACTGAAATAAAATGGAACTCAAAGTTTTTGATAGATCAATTATTTCAGTGCCCATTTACTCCACCAAATGTTAGTGATTGAAACCCAGCTCTGGGCGGTTGTTGCAGCTGATTTGATACATCACATTGTTACCCTTGGTTCTGTCTCGGCTGTCCTCCAATCTGGAGATTAGTTTTCTCACAGTGTCATTCGGGTTGTGGGCCAAGAAGATTCCTTTTTTGAGCCAATAATCTGGTTGCGAATTCTGATATATTCTTGAAGTAGGACGGCGCTATCCGTCTGGTGGCTTGTTCTTGCTGTTGCAGTCGCTGGGACGTCTTCTTGTTCAAGCTACTCTTGATAAATTTCCTTGAATATCCATTGTTCTGGAATACTCTAAATAGATGGTTTGCTTCCTTCTTCCGTAGTTCTGTGGTGCTGCAGTATCTCCGCCTTCCTGAACAGGGTTTTAGCGCAGATCTTCTGGTGTTTTACTGGATAGTTGCTGTCGTAGTTCAGTATTTGATCCGTAAGAGTCTCTTTCCAGAGTCTTTCAAATTTCCAGAGTACCAGCTACCTTTCTGTTCACTAAAACGTCTAAGGATAGTAGTCGATTGTTTCTCTCTATTTTGACTGTAAAATTGATTTATTCAAACATGGGGTTGAGCAGTTTGCATCGTTTACTAAATCCCGTTTCATGATGACTAATGTGTCGTTCACGTAGCGAATCCACAGCTTTGGATTGGTGATTGGCAGTACCGCACGCTCTAATCTTTCCTCCATAGAAAAAGCGGAAATATGTTATCAAGCCGAAAGTAGCCTCCAGTCGATAGGACTGGAGAAAATGCATCAAATACTCTCGAGATATCAACGGGAGATTGTCGGTTGAAGGAAGATTGACGGCAGGTAATTTTCAGGGTGGTGAGTGATCAAATGGTAGTTGATTCGTTTGCCGAACTTGGCAATTGGCTTGCAAGCCAGTGGTCTCCCTTCGAAGACGACGCTATTGAGGGACTCCCGAAGCTTTTGTTGTGCCTAGTTTTGTGGCCAATAAAAGGTGGATTATATCTATCATTTCAGGTTGTTGGAAGGATAGGAGTTCAACGGGAGGCGTTCCACATGGATTTGAATCGTGTCAAGCGTGAGGAAATTTCCGGCATGATATACGTTACGGGCATCAATAATCCGCTCAGGGTTAGCGCAAAAACCCGTTCTGAGGAAGTGATCGAGGTGCGGTCATTCAATCTCGTGAGTAAGTTGCGACATTGTGATTTGTTCACTTTGCAAGTAGTATGAATGATTACTCATTCATATTGGTTTTATGAAACCTGTGTCACCTTCACTTTTGTTGTTTTGCAAGGCTTTGAGTTGTCATCCGGAGAAGTATGGTGCACGTACTTAGATGGATTCGCCATCATTTAACCCGGTTCTATTTTAGTAAGATTATTCGTGGCGTGCAGTATCACTACAATATTGCAACCAGAAAAGAAACTTTTCTTATATTTCCGTGTTTCAAATGCAGGAAAACTCAAGATGCCCGCTGGAGACAAATGAACACTTCTATACTGTTCTATATATGAGGCGCTTGTTTTATCCTTATTCAAACTGCAATCCAGCTTCTGGTTCACATTCGTTTACAGAATTTTTCAAAACTAACTTGCTTTTTCTTAGAAGCACCGTTTGGAGCATAGGATTAAGAAAATGCACCACAAAGAAGGGATGCAAAGTTGCCTAAGACTAGTGTTGCACAGTCGTAGGACAAGTGACCTTCTGAGGGTCACAGTACTTGCTTTTTCTGATTCAAATGTATGTGATTTCTTTGTTTACTGGAATGTCTTGCGACTGCTATCACTCAGTTGTTCAGGTAACGAATGGTCTACACAAAGACAAGAAGCCAGAAATGTACTCCGCTACACCTAGGGGTAAAATATTTTGCATTTTTGGAACAGTTGGCTAACTCACTTGCAAGGATAATTTAATGGAAGCATTTTAAATAGTGAGCTCTACGACCGGACCAGATGTCTGAGAATAAAGGGTCACACAAATTCTTGTGATGCGGATTAGTTGTAAAACAACGCAGCTGATGAATAACGGATTTTTTTTCTAAAATTATATTTTCATTATATTTTATCAAGTAGTTTTTGGAGTGATGTAGACCAAACCATGGCTACAATAGTGAATGCTTACGTATTTTTTGAGGATCTCCCATCATAATAATCGTTTTTGTAATAAAAATGAACGTAAATAAAAGAAAAAAACGTTTTTTGTGGCAAATGGTGTGAGAGAATTAGTAAAAATACTCCTAAATCCGCTGTAGACTCAATGGCGTGTATCCGCAAAGCCAAGTGTATGAAGTTGAAACTCCTACATATATCTACTCATTCTTACAGCAGACTTTGGTCTAAACTATTCTCCAACAGCACCTTGTGATTTGTTAAATTATCGATTTGTGACAAAAGATCTACCAAAGTTTGTTTACACCAGAGCAAGCTAGGGTTTGTTTTGGAGGGACCTATCTGAAGTCTTGTTAGACGCGTGCTATCTTGAATGATGATGTCACGAAAAAGTAGGATCATTTTAAAAATATTCGGACGCTCCATAAAAGAAGTCAAAATTTGCAGCTTTAAGAAAAACACCCAACAAAACATTAGTTATTCTTATCGAAATGCACTCATTTGCAAACTAATTTGGTTTTTGTGAGAGACTCACTTGGAACCCAGCTGAATTTCTCGTTCCTGGTGAGTCTCTCGCAAACTAAATGTATTTCGCTAGTTTGGTGCAATTGGTTTCAAGTGGAACATAAAGTTAACGAAAACTGGGTAACTTCGCCCACCTGATGAGCCCCAAGACGGGCGAAAGCGGTCGTCGGCTATGGCGAATTTTACCCAGCTGAATTTCTCGTTCCTGGTGAGTATCTCGCAAACTAAATGTATTTCGCTAGTTTGGTGCAATTGGTTTCAAGTGGAACATAAAGTTAACGAAAACTGGGTAACTTCGCCCACCTGATGAGCCCCAAGACGGGCGAAAGCGGTCGTCGGCTATCGGCGAATTTTCAGCAACCTTATGAATAGTGCATTAGGAATATCAGTTATTCTATTTTGCTCACATACGGCCGCGTACACTTGACTTGCGGACAGCTGGTGTTGTGAAATTTTGGACAAACATTTTCTATCAGTTGCAATGAGAAATTTTGCTGCATATTTATTCACGATTTTATGTTTTTTTAGAACACGAACCGACCTGTCAACTTCATACAAATGTCCACAGTCTCAGTAAGTCAAAATGGTTTGCATCAATTCAGTTGAACTTAGAACGCGCTTTGTTATCAAGGGTAAATTCTTCCCACCTTAAGATAGGTTCCCTAAACATTTGCGCCATTTCGCTTGGGTGATTTCACACAAGATCGTATACAAAGCCAGCAATGTGCCATGACCAACGCCTTCATGATTCGGTGAAAAGAAAGTAATGTTTCTTTCATGGCTCTAGTTGATATGCATGATTTCGAATGCATTTGGGGCGAAAAAGCATCGATCAGAATCACCCAAAATATTTCAACTCTTTTGTAACCACCCATATGTATACGAGGATCTAATGTTCACGCAAAAATGCACATAGACGGCTGACCATTAGCATGGAAACAAAAGCATATCGAACTTTCCGATGGAGATGTGAACACATTACTTGATGCTGTTTCAACCAGCCAGTTTTTACTTTCTAACCACGGAATATTGATTGATCGATGGTTGCAACTTCGGCTATTGTCAGATGTAATACAATGAAACCTAAATGGACTGTTACGCATCCAGAAAACCTTTAGTAAAGTAGTCGAACAGACCAACAAACAGATGTCCAAATCACAATACTCTGTCAGCCGCTATGAACAGAAGACTTGCACAAACGTTGAACCACATTGAAGTCAAGCAAGCAACGGACCAGTTAGATCAAAGCGAGAAAGCTGCTGAAAATTATAGGCTACTGAATCAATTAACCAACTAAAACGAAGCAAAACGATAACGCAAGAAGGGACGGGTCAAATCTTAACAGAGCAGCAGAGCTGTCGAATTGAGGGTGCCCAACGAACAATTCAGATACAAGCGTATGTAGTCACAACGCATATCAGATTTTAAGCTGACAAAATTATTCGAAATCCACCTCGGGACCAGGCAAGCAGTTTGGGATCATGAGATGGTTTTTGTAAAATAAGTAAACACTGGTACAACGGGAGGGATTCCCTTAATCAACCCTGCACTATCAATGTCACCTCGATTGGTGATGAAACGTTTGCATCCAAGTGTCAAGCAAGAAGAACAGACCAGATTTTTGAAGCCCTTGCGGGGATTACTAACCAAGTTTCTGTGCTATAATGGCAAATATCCAAGGTGCATCATTTTTGTTGATAATGTAGTCCTTTTGTTTCATTGTCATGCACCAAAGTCTAAATTAAGGGTACTGTGCCATATCAAAACGTGTCTATCTCGACCGATCATTATAACCCTGGTCATTAGTGTTTTCAGTGCTCAGCTTCCTATGGAGACATCAGAGGTACAGTAAAGCGTAGATGCTTTTCTAATTTGAGTTAAGTGCCGTAAAACTACATCCTCTGTGCATTCACTTAAATGCTACTGAAATGCTCCTGTTGGCACTAAGTGCTTGAGCACTGCAAGTCATAGACAGTAAATAGCTACGTACTTTTCAGTGACTTACTGTCTTTGAAAGGTAATGTGGGAGCATGATGATGATTGGCTAGCAGTCACAATGAGACTTGCGCCAGATGGTGATGGAGACGATGGGTAAACCTGAAAGATCGATAAGACAAAGACAGCTTGTATGGATTAATAATGCATACTGTTGATTCTGATGTGGATAAATTGTCTTTAAAAAACACGAGGGCCAACAGCAGCCGTCAGCCCTAGTATGATCTACCAGACCTATCAAGCCACAGGAAACCTTTTAAGAGGGCATTTTTAAAAGGCTGCTCTGAACTTTCAATACTAACCGTAAGGTGGATAGTTCATTACCTATACTGCACCTCTTGTGGCTCATCAGGTAGCCCTAGTCCCCAAAGCTTTATCAATACTGGTCCCTACACGAACCAAAATTGCACTAGGTTTGAAGGAAAATCCCTTCGCAAATAAACTTGCTGTTCACTGAGAATCATTTGAACTTCAGCCTCTTCTCTCGCTTAGTGTGTTCTTTAGCTGAATGTGTCGCACAAAGCCGCTTCATGTTCTGGTCGGAAAGGTATCCGGTATATTGAATTGTGTTTATTACTACTCATCCGGCCAGTGATTGGCCTGGACAGCCTTCTGGAAGTTATACTCTTCCTCAGCACATATGACGATAGAAGATGAGGAATCCCAATATGCCAGCCGGACTGATGCCCTTAAAACATCTATGACCAATTTGAACTACTGATTAGTGTTTGTCTGCTACGAGCGCTTTAGCTAAAACCAGCTGTATAAAATCGGAAAAGTATGTCATTGTGGAGGAAATACTGACTAATAGAAAACTTTCCGTTTGTAAGAAACGCTAGTGTGCTAGTTCCATATTCTCTCCTACTTTGAGGTCCTGTTTACATAGGGTTTGATCGGCGATTATGCCCCAGCTGAATAGGAACGTGAAAGATTCAGCGTCTAACCAAGAGGAGACCATACGCAGGTTGTTAGAAACAGCAAAGAGTAAACTGTTTAAATGGAAATATTTATCTTTAAATTGGAAAATCCGTAAATTTATTTTCTGAAATAGGACATTCTTTTTTTCAGCAGACCCTTCGCCTTTTAAAAACCCGACCGCTTGTCTATCTTTTTGACTTGACCGCACGCGGTTCTTCGATTGCTTTGTCCTCCACTGTTAACTCGGAGAACAACGCAAACAATCATACTGGTACCGTGATCAATGCTTCATAAATTACTTGAGCTGTATCATTCCAAAAACTGGCACTCACTAATCAGTTGTTGAATTGCTTCGGATGAGGAAAACATAGTCCGTCACTCAACGAGTAAAATCAGATAGTCACAAACGTAACATCTGACTATTCCTACCTGGCTTGAATGTTTCCCTCAAGCAGTGACAGATTATATGCAGAGTGAGTTTTGTTCGACTACGGAAGGGTTTTGCTATCAGGCAAACTTTGCACCGTGCAAAAATCGATTCGAGAGATCTGTTACCTAAAGAACTGCTATCAAGTGAAGAGTTTCCACAAATAGATTTCAAGATCTTTAAGAATATTTTTTCTTCAAGGTTTTTCTTAGACGGAGATGGGACACACTCCATGGGAAATTAAAGAGCACCCTCGTATGTGGTGAAAAAGTACAAAACCATCAAATGTGATGCCTTTTGTCCCACTGTATTACACACTCCCCTGAGATTTTAATTTTTAAAAATTAATTTGTACCACATGAAGTCGGGTTGATGCGTCCTTTAACCTGAACACTGTTCATTCACTTTGTACGCAATACGTACGATAAGACGTGAAAAAATGGGTGTTTATTTTCAAGACCCAAGTTCGGTGAGTGTAAGTCATCAAACCAGTAATCTGATTAGACAGCGTGTTCGGACAGCCATTTATTAAGTACTGTTCATCCTTTTCAACTGGTGCCGACATGTGATGGCACATACTACTGACGAAACGTGAGTAGTATTCGGTCAAGTGGTTAAGATGCTCTTTCTGTATCTGGTAAACTTTTGGTGAGAAAATTATTGAACCTTTGTGGAGTGTCAGTTCATTGTAGTTTGGCGTTCAAAGCAAAGCTCAAGAGGATGCATCAGACTGTTGACTTATCTGTGCAAACGAGGTTCTCACTTTCGTGGTTGATACCTTGTAACTGCTCGAATAAAGTTATTCAGTGAAAAAATGCGCACTCTAAAGCCTTCTGAACTTGATGTGCATGTGCCCGTACGGATTTGTTTTGCCAGGTGGACTATTTTCAATTGCTGCATGCACTTACGGTTCCTAAAAGAGCAGCTTTGATCTCTTCGTTGGTTGTAATGTATCTTTATTCTTTGGCGTGTGGACCATCCTCGCTCTCTTCAACCGATGGACGAGTTTGTATAGACGCGATACACTCCTCATGAGGTTACTAAAACTATCCAACGGGCCTTCTTGGGATTCATCAAGTAGGTGCGGTTCCAGAGTTAGCACAAACACCTCAACTACGCTCCCCAATAACGCGCTGATGATATCACCTCGATTGGTGACGAAAAGTTTGCAATCTAATCGCCCAGCTCAGCGAACAAGCCAACGACCATTGGACTCCATTTGAATATCATGTGATGTGGAGAGTACGCAACGTTCATACGCTGTCAGAGAGTGCTTCAATTGATCAAATAATCCTGTATATTTTGAAGTGCAGAATGTAGGTGTCCTTTATAGGTCGCTTTGTTTGTGGCTGCATTCACAAAAATGCTGTTCCCAATGACCGTTCGACGGAGTTTGTTTTACCCACGATGTTTTGTGTATTCATTGTTCTGTGTATTGACCTCTGAAGAGATCGATTATTTGGCTTCCATCAGTCATACCGGTACACCAGCAGTAGAGTAGGAAAACGCATTTATATGTTACACATGTGTATATTTTCATGTGGCAGATGAGTTGAGAAATATGGCATACATATCATCGTAACTTGTCTCAACAAAGGGGTCATCCTTTGAAGCATTATGACCTGCGATTCATCAGATTATTGTTTGTGGTTGGGCTAGTGGATACACCAGATGGCTCACAGTAGCCTCATGGAAGAAAGCGCGTAGACAATGTTGTAAGTATGGATATTCAGCATGACTAGCGCGGTTGGTTCATACACCTTTTCACTCTGTGTCCAAGTTTTCCTAAAGTTTTGAAATTCCACCCAGATCGCAGGGACAAACCAAAATTGCTAGTTTCAACCGTCCTCCTCGTAAAGTGGAATTCCTAGGCCCAGAAATTGTCTGTGTTATCATTTTTACAATAGCACGTTGGGTGAATTCTAATCATATACCAGTCGATAGGCCTCCATATAGCCCACAAAAATGTGTGAAAATATACGACAAACTGAAAGAAAAACGATAAACGTTTTTCGCCCACGATAGAACGAAACAAATAGCAAAACATGTTTTAAATCGTTTTTGATGCACATTTACTCAAGATTTTGCCCTGGACTTTGAAAAATGTGGTTTAGTTTGATGCAAAGAGAAAAACGTTGCTCGATTTCTTAGACTTCAAAAGCAGTGCAAACTAGACAGCCTGTTGATTACGATCTACACCACTGCTCGAAGTTTTTAGGCTCGCCGTTGTTCCTCAACTTACAAGCCAAATTTGAAAGCAACAGAGCCGAAAATGCTTGTGGTCGGTATATGGTTCTAGTGAAATAATAGTGCCTGAAACAACCTACTAAGCTTGCTTCAGAGACCATATGTTTAACAAGGCTTACCCCGGAAAGCATAAATCTCAACGAAACAATATTATTGGTGTTTTTTATTTTATTGTAGTTTATGGAAATTTACAAGTCATTTGGACTGTTTCTCTTTGAAGCACTATAAACGGTGAACACGCGCCTACTTGAGCGCCGATCCGCAGATTCTCTCCCCAGTGTCCATGGTAGACGGGCAAGATTATATCCCTTGTTTTCTCAGCTTCCGTCCAACAAAAGACGCGAAAATATGAATGGTCGAATTTTCCTCAGTATTGAGCAACCTGATTTATGTTTGGTTTATATTGCCATCTACTATCTTTTGGTCGTTGGCATTAGGTTAGTTCATCCACAATGGCAATGTGTTGAAAAAAAAACGGGATAAAGGGAGCCATCAAGAGAGATCAGGTTCATGAAAGCCAACTGAAAGGTCAAACCACGGACATTTAGCTACCAACCAGAAGGCGTTATCATGGTGAATTGGAAAGTGTGACTTATTCTCGGTACATTTTATGGCCTCAACGGAGAGTGATTACTCTGTAAAGGTTTCGTCTTTGTGAGCCATTATCTTAGTGTATAATCCACGCTGAAATGAGACCACCTTTCAGTGGAGAGCAGTAAGCTCAGCGTTTTTTCTTTAGTACAAGGAAACCAATACATTCCAAATAGAGGTCAATTTTTTGAAATACAAACCACCAAAAGCGCGTTTCAGATGCATGACATATTGCCATGAAAAAAATACTCAATTTTAAAGGATGTTTTGCTTACTCGAAAATCAAGAGCCACTGGCCATCAAGTGATCTATCAACTTCAATTCTTGCCAGCTTGTCTAGTGACCTTTCCCTAGAATATGATTTTGCGCATTTGTTTTATTGATTGTGGAGTTGGAAAACCTGTATTAGTGGATACAGATCTGTGACATACAGATTTGGGATATATTGAACTTTTCTACATGTTTCTTGTTTACTCCTCGCAATATTTCAGAAGTCACCGTGATGTTGTTTGTCCCCATTGGGAATCAAAAACTCTCTGCAGGTGATCTGCCCGCTGTTGGCTCAGTTGAATACAACAATGTTTTGGAGTTTGCCAGCATCTACGTGAGTACTATGCCATAATGAAAATTGCTTTCATAGCTATTTCCGGGGTTGAAAAGCGCCGTTATGAACAGAAAATTCGATCAGCTCTCTCAATATCATCCACCATTTTTTATGAATAGATGCCTATCGCCGCAAGGAGATGATTTTATTCCTGGATGTATTCATTTCCGGCCAGTTGTTGAAGTGGAATTCGGATTAAGAATTTAAATCAAGTTATCGCTCCCATGGAGATCCCAGTCAAAGGATCTGAGTCAGCTAACCCTGGCCGTTATCTATTCTCTCACTATGAAGAAAGTACAGGTGACGAAGAACCCAGATAGTCTTTTTGCTCCTGGTATCTTTACCCTTACGGATGATTACTTTGACCGCGTGATGTGGATCCCGTGATTGAAGGATGAGCGGTGCTATATCCTGTCTAAGTGCGAGTTGATCACACTGCTGATCAGCTACTCGTGGCCGAACGGTTAAATGTTCAAACTACTAGCAGGGAGGTCGCGGGTTCGAGGCTCTTCGGAGTTTCGTGAGATGCGCACTGCTGATGATTCCCAATAAGGATGAAGCAGCTGTACAGTGCTTCTCGGCTTTTCAGCATAGATTGGCTTCACTTACAGGACGAAATCCCACAAAAATGATTACTTTGTATTTAATTATTATGGAGAATTCTGCGCGATGTTTGAGTCCTGAAGCAGTCTGCGACTTCGACGATACACTGCCCCGTGAACCACCGTTCCACAGCCAGGAGACAACACATTGCAACAATTGTCATCATTGGGGGCAGTGTCGATGCAATCTGTGAGTACTGGATTTTAACTGACCAAACTTGAGGCACGGGACATGGCGCCAGGTTTTTGTTTCACACCATTGAAATAGCAGTAAACTCCCATTTAAGGTTTCATGAATAGGAGTGGAACACACACAAAACAAAGCAACTGTCAGTTGCCTTAATTCACTCACTCAAATTATCTGAAAAAGAACCATTTTGAGGACTTTCCCGGCCATTATTTTGAAGAGATCTTGACTTAGGAAGACTATCGTGATTTTATTAGAGGAACACTTTTCAAGTCATTCCTCTTGATTCCTCTTCAGACCGAAAAAACTGCCGCTTGTGAAACTTTTCTCCGTGGCAAATTGCAACAGTGATCAGTCGGTGACACGTAAAACGTTTCCCGTAAAAGCATGGCAGCTGAGATAAATTTCATAGTATATGCATACATCTTGACTAAACAAACGGCATAAGTCTAATGTACGATATCTACAGAAAGCCTTTGAAAGCAAATGTGTTTTTTCATCTCCTTGTTAAATGCTCATTGGTACTTCATTAAACCATAAAGACGCAAGCATTCCTAAAAACACTCAGCAAAAGAATAATGAACCTGATATTCTCTATGCCAACGTGTGTTCTTCTGTCGATAACGTGAGCTGGAAGGAAGCCCGTCCCGCCGGAAAAGTGTCGACTTTGTGGCCGGATGTAGTCATTGATTAACTGTGGCCCACACTTACCAACACAAAGAGAAGACACCACGCTAGAAGGGTTTTTGGTCGTTTCCGAGGTTTTTCCTTTCCGTAGGAATTTCACACCAAATCGTGGCCGAATACACATGCTGTAGTTGCATTTTCAAGTGAAGCAGCATTCCTCTAAGAGAGACTTTTTGGTGGCTGTACCTGCAAATAAATTGTCTGTATGTTGGTAAAATTCTCAAACATGTGCGCCTGTCACTCAAGCAAAACATGTTTTACCTTAAATATATTTGGCTTTACTTTTGTAGTTACGAGAGGACCTTTTGGGTGAGCTTGGACTGGACTCGTCGGTGCTTTGGGCAGAATGTGATAGCTTGAGGGCTTATGGTCGATTCGTGATAGCCCGAGGTACGGCACACTTTAACACAGTGCGCTTAACGGCCACTCATGCGGATTTGGAACGCGAGCATTTGGTTGAGTCCTTTAACAGAAAGTTCAAGCCCACAAATTTGCTGATTCTCAAAGGTAATTGATTCTCATGAACCCAACACCTCTCGTTTCACAATAATTTATTGCTAATCATCATGTCAGTCTTTCACCTTTGTGATTCGCCGTGCAAGATGCACCTATCCTACGCTCTATCGAAGGGGAAACCTTCTGGAGGGACCAATCCTAAAAAAACTATTTCAAATATTCATTTGAAGCCCCCGGGTTAATTTTGGGGCCTTAAGATGCCTTTTCAGCTTGAACAACAGACTATTTCCTGCGGTACTCTATGGTTTGGATTTCTCTCAAAAATGCAGTGTCTTGTTTCCAATGCGTCAGATTTGAACCGAAAGGTACAAGTTTGTTCGACCTACTGGGGCGTTTGTACACCTCTCCTATGGAGCACGGGCAACTGCACTGTCACTACGGAGTTACTGGGACAGGCTATGGAGAAGAAAGAAATGCAGCGGAGGTGATTTTCCACGCAAGGAACACTTTACGATTCAGAGAAACCCATATGGGTAACCCCTTTAAATCATATGCTGAGAATTCTTAAGTCAAGTTTTGCGAAGTCCAAGCAATGGAATGTTATAATACTTGAAAAAAATGGGTAGATTTAAGGGCTACAAACCTCAATTTATGGGCGTTACTGTCTCAGTTGTTGCAACATGTGGTAACAAGATTAGGCAGAAAGTTCACATCGAAAGTACTCAATGATTGTTTCAGCAGGTCAAAAAAGTTCATCATCACGAATTCATGTCGAATCTATGAAATATCCGCGAAAAAAATTTGGTTCAAGCAAGAGAAGGTGGGATGAACGTATACTACCGCGGGTGCCTCATCTCAGCGAAGATGTAACAGAAAGGAACGGTACACTGTTTGTGAAACTTTGGTGACGCAGAGTTTGATTAGTTGAAGAGATAGTGGATGGTGAGTGTACAACAGTATAATCACTTATAACCAATTGAAGCTTTCTATTCCAATAGCGATAATTCTCCACTGTGGGAGGGGGGTCACACAGCTTCTTACAAGGTGCCTCAAGTTAAAGCAGGAAATATTGCAAAGGGTTGGCATATGCTCTCCACGATTAGTAACGTTTAACTTTGCGTATTTCAACTTCTTCAGTATCACATTAAAGAAGTACGCTTGGCAGCAAGAAATTTGGAAAGGTAGTCATGGAGAGCCACGGGTTTATTGTCAGTAAACCGAATTTTCGTTCCGTGCGCTTTACTGCGGAAGAACGAGTTCAAAGAAGCAGCTCACATGAAGAATGATGAAGAAACCTTTTGCAGTTACAATATCATTTCAAATTTCTGGAGCAAGCCCCTGAATTCAAACAACAGTTAGCGATAGCTGACAACTCATAGTTCCAATGTTATTCCCCCTTGGGGTGGTCGTTTTTCTAAGGTCATAAGGGCATTTCTCGCAATTTCTATCCGCCTTTTGTCCCTTCATTCGTTATTTCCTTGTATCATAGGGTATCTGGCCTGCGGAGACCGCAGGAGCCGCACAGGTAACAAAATAGGTGTTGATATGCAGATTTTCCGGTTAGATAGCAGTTATCTGGAGCAGTTCGTGTAGGAGCATTTGAGCTAAAATCATGTCGTGACAGAAAGAACCTCAGTGGTCGGAAAAATCCTGCATGCACTCAGGTGCCGCTCAAAAGCGACGCGACTTCAGCAAAGCTGACCCAATGCCTCATTGCTTACCTGGGGCGAGCGTTTAACGCAACACGCCTGCGAACAGGTTTCAGCAGCGGCCGATTTTTACTACGAATCTCGACGTTACCGTACCAACGCACTATTTCGTTATGGTTGTATATTCATGGTTTGCGAATGTGGATCGAACAGCGTAGCACTAATCTCACAGAATCAAAGATCGACTCGTAGAAAAACCAGAGCAGCCAAACATTTCACAGGCGCTGTCGCCACTTACCTGATTAATACAGACCGCCAGAACAATCCGAACAAATCATTCAGCATAATCTATCGAGTACCGAATAATCGGCCGATGATCCTTTGCCAACAGATGATGGAAAGAATTATATTCGGATAGGTGACATCTTTGTTGCCTATCACGAGAAACAGGTGAAACATTGGCCCACGAATCAAACTTGACCACCACTCCATAGACATTGTCATTGTTTTTAGGCCGATAGTTTAGCAACCTGGCTTCCTGTTCTGTCGTTGTATTTGCCCCACGAGTTCAGTGGATACGTCTAGTAATATATTTTGCATACTTGTTCAACAGCAAACTGATTTTCTTCACTACTGTCTGTTTCAGCACTATATATTGAAAAAGATTTTGTTCTTTGTGGCACGAGGTAAGAAGCGTGTGTGATGATGTTTGCTAACTGAAGGCAAATTGGAGTGCAGGATGGCTACGAACTAAGCCATCGCAGTCCGTTATGCTTGATCTTACTGGACTGGTCTGTTCAGTGGAACCTAGGGAAACACTTTTTTCGGTCATACATCTAAGATTGGCATTCGAACTTGTCATTTCACGGTACATGAAAATCAGGAGCGCAGGTTTAAAACGGTGTACTGATTTATTTAAATTTTTGTGTAGAAGTGGTCTAAAGGAGCTTCGTTTCCCTCCGCTTTAGCGCTCTAAGAGTTTCCATTCAAGAAGTCGAGAACTAAGCAGTCAAAAAACGACGTAAGTTTTTTCTTTGCTGTATGGAATATGATACCATTTCTTGTGGCCGCTAAATGGTGATCCAGCTCAACGTAGTTGTCTATAAACGAATATTATTTGAGAAAGTAAAAAGGATAAAAAACGATCCGCATTTCATTTCCACTTACCGGATTTGTTTTTTTTATTACGAGAGTTCACATTAACCACCGCACAGACAGTCTTTTTGGCCATTCCATGACCTATAGGTCTGAAGTGGGCCCGTACATTCGAGGTACAGATTGTTGAAGGGCAGGACAATCAAATTCACTTCCAGGTTTTTCTCTTTGCTTAAAGATCTCCATCTCAAAGGGGCTAACTTGTCCACTCCTGGCAGACTTTACATTTAGATAGGTGTATGACCGGAAATTTTTTCTAACGAATATGGCCCCACAACTTGTAAGCGGAGGCTTATTCTTAAAACACCCGAACTCGCGCAGTTTAACGTGTAGCTGACTTCCTTCAGGACAATAGTGAGTCAAAATGTGATAAAGAGAAATAAATGCTTACTGACTATCCATACTGTGGATTTACGGCTTGCACTAATAAACCTGACAGGCTAAATTACACCACCAAAGAGAGTCACATTGCTTGTATGCACTGGAGCAGCTCACCCGTTCATAGGTCACCGATCTACTTATCAAAAGTTAACCTGATGGTTTCTTAAGGTACTTTGCTGAAGGTGGACCTCGGATTGGAACCGTGATTTCAGAGCAAGGGCAAAACAATTTTGTTGCCCATAACAGTTGCCAGTACGACTTTAAAGCAACTATGGCAGTTTTCTGAAGTGGTCAGTGACCCGGCGCACATAAATGCCGTCTTCTCAAATTGCTTTTTCAAGGACGACCAGAACACTGAAAGCGAACTGTGTCTTTAGAACATCTGCGATAGCTAGGAGGAAAGTGCATGGAAGACCACCGTCTTGTTCTTTACTATGAAAATAGACGTCCTGAACTTAACACTTCGGGGTTTACTGCTTCAGGAATTGAACTCAGTGCCAGCTCTCCGTCCCAGAAATTAGTCCTAACTGCGGAGTTAGTGAAATAACGGTTACAGTAGTTCATGAGCTTTATCGTCACAAGTGTGGAACTATGCGATCAATATAAATAAGTGTGAAAACGCATGTGGATCACCCTGATACAGGCAAAGTGAATCGCTGTTCTTCAAGACGAAACTTAGGGCTGAATGATAGCACGCTACCATTATGAATGAATTCCAGATATTTATCTCGTTTGATCATGTTGCTGTGTGAGTTTAGTACTTTGTTTGAACCCCGATGACCTCAATGACGAATGAAATTAGATTGTCCTGAATGCCGAATCGTGGAAATCTTGTAAGGTCCAGGCAGCTTGGTTTCTTTCCCCTCCTCTGAGAAATCCTCTTTTGAGTTCCTTGAGCGTAACGGATTAGAAGAGAAAAACAGTTTTTGGATTACACCGGACTACAGTTATCATAATGACTGTGTTTCGCATGATACCTGGAATACCGTTTTTGTAACACAGTGAGTGTCTCACAGTGATTGATCAACCAGTCTAAATAGGGGCAGCAGACTGATCACGGTTGATTGCGTACTGCAACTATTCAGGCTTCCTGAGAAAAGCATATCTTGGTTCTTACAAGCTGCTCGTATCATTTTTTGAAAACCTAAACAGCAAATTGCTCAGCTATTACATAGAACTTCTAGCATGCTTCATTCCAAGCTGAGTCCTTAATACATCAGAGGCAACTACTTTGACTTACTTGTAGTATCTGTTATGGAACCGTTCTTTATCCCCATTTTGTCTGTTCAAACTTTGAAGGGGTAAGAGACCCCTCATTCTCACATAGTACTTCTACCAAATAAGTTCACCAAAGTGCATTGATAGTTGTTGCTCTGTTATGTTATATACAGTCCCATACATTTGAAACAGCCAAACGTTTTTGCATCTGTTGTCCTGGTTGACGGCCTAATTCCTCGCTTTTTTCAACTGATAAAAATTAGCCACATGGATTTAAAATCCATGAAAAGCTTCGGACAGTCTCATTAAGGAGGGAGCGGAATGAAATAGAACCCCGTTTTGGGTTACGTGCAATATGGTTGAAGTATCGTTTGCTGCTTTTGGTCCTTCCTTTCTCTTTTCTTCAAGTTAACGAGCCGTGTTCCATCGGAAATTTTACTTTATCCGGAGGACTCGTGACATTTTCAGGTCAAAAATAGGAAATTCCAAGTTTCATGCTCATTTTGAAGGATTACCTCTAGCAAGTTGGCTCTCTTCTTTAGATAACTCTATTGCTACTAGATGAGAGTCTTTATGGTATGTGGTGGGAAATTTCGCAGCAAGCTAAGATACATTTACTCGAATAAATGTCTTCCAAAAGGGCAGTC